CTTACGCAGCTTGGCCAGAGCGAGTTTGAGCACAAAGGGTCAACTGATGTCTGGGTCGGCCCTGCCAGCCGGAATGCCAATATTCCACAGTCCATCCAAGAGGACATGGCCCAGGCCATTTCAATGACGCTGAGTTCCGGCCAGGTCAACAGTCAAGTATCCAACAACATCCGACAACAGCAATATGAGAGAGTTATTGGGTAAGTGCCAGCTCCATTGACCCGGCTCTCTTTTATGGTTGGCTAACGGAAGAACGCGTGGCGCAGACCGATTGCTTTCCATCCCATCAGTGTAATATTCGAGACGTCTAATCATGCAGCGCTCCTTGAGAAGATGGGGGTAAAAGACATGGTCTCCGAGGTCATTGACGAATTACTGCGCCTTGCCGAGGCCAGTGGCTGCAAATTCGCACCCAACTTTAAGCAGTCAATCATGGATGAAATGGCAAAACCGACCCAACCCGAAAGCATCATGTGGCAAGACTTCATCGCCCGGCGACCCATGGAGGTCGAGACATACCTCGGCTCGCCCATCAGGCTCGCTCGGGACGCCAAAGTCTCTGTACCCCGGATTGAAACTCTTTATGCCATCCTCCACAATCTCAACATTGTCAACCGCAACCGGCCGAAGCAGGATGCGGTGCCCGTCAGCAACGGACCCAGCTCACCAAATAACCCATCTCCATATCCACCTCGAGGCCCATCACAGGCCGGCTTTCGCCCAATGATGCCCAATGGCAACGGGATGCCACCTCGCCAGCCACGACCTAGAACATCGTCCAACTTCAGCAACGCGGGAGGCATGCGTAGGCCTCCGCCTAATGCAAATGGCGGCCCCAATGGCTATGGAAGGCCACCGCAGATGAACGGCGGGGGTTCTCGAGCCGCGTCTCGACGTGGTTCAATGGAAGGCAATGATTTGGAGGAGTTCTCCCACCTCGTACTGTACGACGACATCCCAGAGGGCCAGGAACAGTCTTTTGGGACCGACAGCTCAGATCTCGCTCTCAGAGAGCGAGAGCTACAGCTGCGCCAACGCGAACTGGCTTTGAGGGAGCAGGAGATGCGAATGAGGCGTGGCCCTCCTCCTCCTCAAGCAACTGCGCCTCCCTCTCGCCGAGGACCGCCACCATCTAGGGGAGGATTCGACGACGACGATGACGACGACGATTATTTCGACCCATCCATGGCCACCAACGTCCCCGTGATAGACCCAGACAACTTCGACATGATGAGTGTCACCTCAAGGAAGAACCGCAAGGTGCCCGGGCCGTCTCAAACCCAGATGCGACGAAACCCCGAAGGAGACGCGCCGCCGTCCAAGAGTAGCAGGTTCCGACCCTTTGGTCGTAATCGTTCCAGCCAAATGAGCCAAATAAGCCAAATGCCCACGGTGAATGACAACATCCTCGATGACCCGCTGCTAAGCTTCACGTCGAACCGATACGGAGCAGTGGACCGCGGCGCAATGAGCGCAGGGTCTCGTGCCAACTCTTTGACTGCCTCTCGGTTAGATGAGATGCAATTTGGCCCTGGAGGAGGCGGCGGCCAAACCATGACCATGACCAGTGGTTACCCTCGACGGACTAGCCATTCGCCGGGAAATCAGTACAGCCCTTCGATGCGAGGTGGAAACGGCAGGCCTTCGCCGCCAAACGGATTCGGCCCTGCAAACGGCCAGCCTTCACCACCTAACGGCATGAGACAGCCCGTTCCCCGTTACCCGCCGGGGCAAGGCACCGCGGTCGCGCCTCAGCAAGTTGAACAACAGATCGGGGTGAGCTCTCTCAATCCCCCCAAGTCTAGAAACGGTCGTAGTCTGACTGGCAGTGCGAGTGCTAGCGCGGACAGTGGTGAACTCGGCTCAGAACGATCGGCATACAGCAGCCAAGGTAGTCTCCAACAGCAGCAGAACCAAGGACAGTGAAGTTCCCTTTGCAGTCAATGTTTGGGAAACGCATATCGTCGTACCGTGCTCCTTCCATCATCCTCACCAAATGGTTACATGAATCCGTACACGTCATGTTAACTCATTCTTTCACTCCTTTCTCTTTTTCTCCATCATTCTCCTTTTTTTTTCTCTCCAGCACCCTCCTCACGCACGACGTCGATGAAGAAACGCTAGCCTACCCCTCTGGACGATATCTGTTCTGTTGCAAGCATTCACCAATCAACCCAGAGTCTGAAAGAAAGCAGTTATTGACAGATTGCTCGGCACACGATTTTCCCCCTGTGAGAGACAACCCTATTATCTCATGCAGCAACATATCATCATTGTAGTGGGACTACCACAAATCAACGGCTTGGATGACTTTGGACTATTGTTCGATACTGGCGCTTTTTGTACTTGGGGTGGACTGTCAAGTCTCGTATATACATGTGGAACGACACCCGAAACAACCATTCATCATACCGGATAAATGTGGGCATTGTTCATGTCTCCCGGCGGATATGGCTCATATTTCGATATAGAGCCATCCTGAAAGAAACGAGACGGAAGAACACGAACAGCCCAGGCGCACCTTTGATGACCGTGGAATATATACCTCTTTTAATCAGCCCTCGCCTGAGTTTTGGAAAAAGCCTCGCAGAGAAAGGGGGTTGAGCTACAACGGCATTATTTCTTTGTTTTTGTTTTTTCCGATGCGAATCACACAGCATTTTAGATTCTTTGGGTGTGGATTTTTTTTTTCTGTTTCTTTTTTTATGTCCTCTTTCTTCATATTTTTTTTCTTTTCCTTTTCTTTGTTCCATTTTTAATTCGGCAAACCGCCACTATTTTTCTTAATCTTTGTTGGGGCCACAATTGGTCACCGTCTGTCTAGAAAGCGCTTGATTGTGATGAATAGACATGGCAAGAGGATTGGCGCGGCCACGACCCTGTCATGCCACATCAACAACCATTCAGCAGCAACGATTGCTGGGCCCAATTACGATGCAGAAGCGGCAGGAAAAGAAACGGCATGCTGAAGTGGCGGCAGAATGCTTGAATAATTGATAGTTGAACACACAATAAAGATATAGAATGGCAGGGCAAATAGCGTTAATGACGGGAAGAACGGGGGAAAAATACGGGCGGCATTGTTTTCAAGGTAGTCCAAATATAATATGGCATGTCGATTCTGACGATGACTTTTTTGTTTCCCTTTTCTCTCTCTCTCTCTCTCTCTCTCTCTCTCTCTCTCTCTCTTTTGTGATCCGTCAAGCAAAAAGCAATGCAGTGAATATGTGCCGCCTCGCCCGAACACGTGGTGATAGAGGAGCGTCGTGGAGCTTCAAAGCTTCAGGCTATCTATCACGTGAGCTGGCGTAGAGGGGCGCAATTGGCATCAACAACTCGCATCGATCCATTGTTCCACCAACGCGTTACTTTTAAGCAACTAAATATTTCATTTCACTCTCTCAACTTTTTCCAACGACTTCTTTCTCGTTTCTCGTTCCTCTCTCCAGGGCTCTCATTGATTGCCAAGTCAAACGAGCAATGGCGTCCCGAAACGTCGGTGGATCGCAGGGTCTCGGTAGACAGAGCATCATGATGACGAGTGGGAGCGTGATGAAGTCGAGACAGTTGGTGAGTGAAAGCTCAGCTGCCATATTTTCACGCTTGTTTCGTTTATTATTACTTTCTTCTTTTCTTTTCTTTTCAGTGTCAAGATTGGCATGGAGCGTCGCCCATGAAGAAATGCACTGACTGGGGGAGGTTTAGACGCATCTTCATTCCCAACTGGAGCAATTATCAGCCAACCTAGCGGATACCGAGAACTTGTTGAGAATGACGAGTGTGCAGGCTGAAGCTATGAGAGGGCTGGGAAGCTGGCACGGCGGCCTGTAAGTCTTTAGGCGTGCTGGGTTTCTCGTCTGGCGGTGGGTGTGTGAATGAGTTGCTGACGGGAATGGGGCTGGGCAGATTCATGGCGGCGAGTAAAGTGCTTGGAGAGGAGAGTGTCAAGGAAGTTGGAAAGTGATGGCAGTGGGGTTACGGAGCTGCTTTTTTTGGTGTTGGTATGGAATGGGTGGAAGATTCACGGGATACGCGATGGTTTAATGAATGAAGTGTCGAGTTTTGAATTTCTTGGTTGGAGTTCGGCTTTCGGCAGGCTATAGATTGAGCGACAAGTGCTATATACGTACTATAATTATATTTGACTGGTATTCGGTGTTAATTGCGATACGGGATGTTTTAGGATAATGAACAGGCATTCCTTTTACCAAGGCAGCCATGGCTTCGCGTTTGCAATTCCGGAGGGCTTTATAATGTGCTCTCAGGCCTAGGATACTGGGATTTACTTGTGGTTCTCGCATCATATTTATTTTTCTCCTGTATAGCTCAAGTTGTTCAGCCTGTTGGCTCAATTCTTGTTGTAATAGCTAGTCGTGAATATATTTCTCCAGCATCCTTTACCACCGATATATTTCCCTAGTATCTTCTACTGTCGAAATATTTCTCCAGCATCTCTAACTATCGATATATTTCTTCAGTAAGGTATCTTCTACTATCGATATATTTCTCCAGTATTTTTTACTACAGCTATATACTGGAGATAATGGACCGGAAATCCAGGGCACCCCAGTTGCTAGAATAGTGTCCTCTGCTCGGCTTGTACGATTGGCCTGCGTAAGTTTGTGTATTCGCTTGAATCAACCGTTGGGTCACTCAGACGGCGGTTCCATGTTCGCACGATATGGCAAGCGAGAAGAGGAAGATCCCGTAGCCAGACGCCGGATTGATCTTCAGGACATCGAGAATAACGATCTTGAGCTTTCAGAGATTTATCCCTTTGATCGCGGGTACAAGCTCTAGGTCATAAGACCCAATGAACCGTCCGTCTTGGTTTCTACCCCTCGTTGACTCAGCTGCGTTGCGCCGATACCAGTGCATCACCCGAATTGTTTTTATGCCCCTAGCGATTAAGCGCCAGTTCAAGGCTTTGTGAGACGTTCATTTCGGCTTGCATCCGAGGAGCTCCATAATGGGAAACAATGTTTCGAGCATGTACCCCATCACCCTGCAGACTCATCACACACAGGTTGCTCATGCACTGGCGCAGACGGAGTGCTGTCTTTCTCCATCTTCGGAGTCTCGAGAGTCCGAAGCGGCTTTCTATTCTGCCTCGGGGCGCTGACGGGATACCGCTTCACGTTTCCACACGTGCCACACCGGGTGACGAGAACATCGGCCCAAGGCTTTCTTCCGCCCTTGCTGAGATTCTCCACCGCAGAGTGACATGTTTTGCCTTCAATCAGGATAGCGTCGCAAAATTTGCAGATGGTTTGCTTGATTGAACGGCTCTGTCGGATCTGGGCTTTCAGAGACACCGATCTCATGTCCGACACGACTTGGTGAGATAAGTTCATCAAGACCTTGCGCTCTTGGCTGCCATGAGCAAACTCGGGGTTAGGGCCATTGCTTGTGCCAGACGGTGCGTCTAGTCTCGAGGTAGATGAGTGCTCATCGCCATGCCGGGCGCTCTGCGGCGTGGCCTGCTGCTTGGCCTGTTGAGCGCAGTTTGCAAGATAGCTGGCCGCTTGGTAGAGATATGAAGCCCTGGTATAAATGTGCCTATTTTGAATGCCAGGATTGCCCTTTGCCTTGGCCATTTGTTTTCTGATCGACCTTTTATCTCACTTGGGGACAGTATGCTTGAAACGAAGTCTGCGATAAAGAGCGAACTCCAATGTTTCACTCTGTGGCGGTATAATTTGGGAGAAATAGTGCAGAGAAACGCAACAATTGAAGCCGTCGCATGGTCTAAAACAAAAAGCAAGATTACAACGTATAGAGATCCAAGAGACACAGTGTGTCTGCTTGCGTGCGCGGTCCATCTCGCACGTGGCTCAGCTTACCTAATGATGCAAAACAACTTTGCCTTGGGTCTGGCACGTGACTGCGCCTGTTTTGCGTGCACGGGCCACGGCTTACTCAGTCGCGCCTCACCTTTCTCTTCTCCCCTTCCTCCGCCCTCTTGGACAGCCTCAGCTTCCCTCGTTCACATCCACCAACATCGGAACATCGTCTTCGATACGTGGCATTGCAACCCAATTTCCATCGTCTCTGCCTGTTCTCTGTCCCGGCATCTCATCTGCCCGGTCTTTTAGGACTTTTCTCCGTCCTTGTCATCTTTGTCTCTTCTTTCTTCTCCCTTCTGACGCGCCCAACTCGTTAGCGCTTCTCGCAACTCAGCAAAGGCTTTTTCCGAATTTTCAGACGCTTTCTATCAACCAATTCATTCCAAAATGTCCCACGAGGAAGATCTCATCGACTACTCCGATGAGGAGATTGGCGCCAACGAGACCGCCGCCGCCTCCAACGGAAAGAAGGGAGAGGCCGCCTCCGGTAACAATGTCGACAAGAAGGGCAGTTACGTTGGCATCCACTCCACTGGATTCCGTGACTTCTTGCTGAAGCCCGAGCTTCTGCGCGCTATCGGCGACTGCGGTTTCGAGCATCCTTCGGAGGGTCAGTCCTGAATTCTAACACTGTCCTAAGTCATCTACACAATCATATATTGCTTCCCTTTTTTCCTTGAAAGCAAGCGTCCGTCCATCTCGCAAGCAAGACAAGCAAGAGTTTGAAGAAGAAAGAAAAGAAACGAGGAAGCATACATCGATCTCAATAATGGTCGGCTCTCTAGCCGACTACCACGCTCATCATCGTTGCATACATGATGGCTGCAATGGCATGGCAAAGACTCTCCAAAGGCTCACGTTTTGTGACATCCACAAACACAAGCAGGTGCCGCAACTCGCAAAAGAACCCTCGAGTCTGCCGGTATGAGCTGCATGGACTGGTGTCATTTGTCCCTCGAATTCACTCGGGGAACAGTGGCTGCTAAAAAGGGCTTTGGAGATAGTCAAGCTAAGCTTGAAGGGGGGGAAGAGAAGAAAAAAATGATTTCTCGTCATTGCGTGTCTTGAACACGTGCGGATGACAAACCAGCTGGGATCACAATGGCTTCAAGAACCCTTCTCGCCACGTTGGCTTGAGAGAGAAAGTCGATCCCAGTTCAAGTTGCAATTTCTACACACTTGGAGAAAAAAATCATGTTCATGCTGCGACGATGGACGGACCTTTGACGCACACTACCCATCGTTCGTTGCTACTTGATTACATTTAAAGTCTAACATCCTCGCGATCGACAGTCCAACAAACATGTATCCCTCAAGCTCTCCTCGGAGGAGACATCATCTGCCAGGCCAAGTCTGGTCTGGGAAAGACTGCCGTCTTTGTCCTGGCCACGCTCCAGCAAGTCGAGCCCGTCAACGGCGAGGTCTCGGTTGTCGTCATGTGCCACACTCGCGAGCTGGCTTACCAGATCCGAGATGAGTACAACCGATTCAGCAAGTATATGCCCGACATCAAGACGGGTGTCTTCTACGGTGGTACTCCCATCAAGAACGACGTCGAGACTCTCAAGAGCAAGGACACGTGCCCTCACATCATTGTCGGCACCCCCGGTCGTCTTAAGGCTCTCGTCCGTGACAAGGCCCTCCGTCTTGGAAGCGTGCGTATCTTCGTCCTTGACGAGTGCGACAAGATGCTCGATCAACCCGGTGAGTGCGACGTTCTATTCTGCCTATTTTTTTGAAATGGCGCCTTTCTTTCTTCCTTTCTAACATCAAATAAGACATGCGCACCGACGTGCAGGATGTGTTCCGCGCCACTCCTCAGCAGAAGCAGGTCATGATGTTCTCGGCCACTCTCTCCGAGGCCATCAAGCCCATCTGCCGCAAGTTCATGCAAAACCCCACAGAGCACTATGTCGATGAAGACACCAAGCTCACTCTGCACGGCCTGCAGCAATACTACATCAAGCTGGAGGAGCGCGAGAAGAACCGAAAGCTGAATGAGCTTCTTGACGATCTTCAGTTCAACCAGGTCATCATCTTCGTCAAGAGCACCGTCCGTGCTACCGAGCTGGACAAGCTCCTTCGAGAGTGCAACTTCCCGTCCATTGCCGTGCACTCTGGAGTCAGCCAGGAGGAGCGGTAAGTTGATTGCAATGTCTCCAACGGGCTCTGAGCCAGAGTATAGTTGCTGATTTATACAATTACAGTATCCGCCGCTACAAGGAGTTCAAGGAGTTCAAGAAGCGCATCTGCGTTGCCACTGATGTCTTTGGACGTGGTATCGACATTGAGCGAATCAACTTGGCAATCAACTACGATCTGTCTAATGACGCCAGCTCCTACCTTCACCGTGTCGGCCGTGCCGGTCGTTTCGGTACCAAGGGTCTTGCCATCTCCTTTGTGAGCTCCGAGCAGGACCAGGAGGTCCTTAAGGAGATTGAGAAGCGATTCGAAGTCGCCCTTCCGTGAGCAGCCCCTCTTACACACGGCCGTATGAAGATTGATATGCTAACCTCCAACCTTGCAGCGAGTTCCCGAAGGAGGGTGTTGATGCCAGCACTTACATGGCGTCTTAGAGGACGGCTCGCGATTTCACTCCAACGCCTCCTGTACTATTTTTTGTGCGCGTCGAGACTTGACAGGAGCAAGTGGGAGAGGATGGATTCATCCGCTTACGTCGTCGGATGTCAGAAAATTTGGGAGAGTAGTCAGACTTGCTTATACTATTACGTAGCTTATTTTATCGGGAGCCAAAGGGAAGGGTAGGCTGAAACGCCGTGGTTTACAAGGTCAATGAAATGGATTTGCACAAGCCAATACGTAGCCAGCCGTGCCGGTAGCGGAGTGATAAGATTCAGAGTATTGATGTGTCTAGAGTTATGCGTTCAGCACTCTGCGGCCTGGCGTTTGTTGAATCCAGCGAGTGATGCGAAGCGAGGTGAGGCGGATGCTAGAATGTTGGAGTCATTTTCTCGGTCAGCTCTCACGATCCTTATCGGCCATTAGCTTTTCGGTTGTCATCCGGTCATATAGCAGCGGCTGGCTACGACAGCGGCAAAGCAAGTGATTTTGGCCACAGCTTCGCCACCCTGATAGCCTCTGATCGTGGCCCTCTCTCGACATATCCTACTAGAGATGGGATAACAAGGCAAAAGGCCAAGAAACCAATATCAAGACTTTCGATGCAGCCCATTGCCACGCTTCCGTCTTCGTATTTCAAGTCACATGCGCTTTGATGATATAAACATGCGGCGAAAGTAGCTTGTTACGTGTCCTGCGGAGGAGCACTCAAACTCGGTCACTGTCATTGCGGCAGTCCTTCCCGTCTGACCGTTGCCTCTACCCCAAGCTCTGCCTCTCGGTCCTCTCACCACGCCATGGAAAGACATTTAAGAAGAGAGGAAGTATATTCGAAGAAGTACCTAGGTAGCATTTTATAGACCTATAGTACCTACCTACCTTAGTAGGTACAGGTAGGTACCCAGGCATCTACCTCCTACAGGTAAAGTATACCTGTGTGATGGGAGTTTAAGGTCCTATCACGTGCATAGGTAGGTACTAAGGCGTACCTGGTACTTGACCTTGCTCAGAAACACATGGTCTATGCAATGTGTCAAGTAGCGGAGGTCGTGGGAAAGAGGTTGTCCTCTTTTCTTTGATTCTTCTTCATCATTCCATCAGCCAAAGCACTGTACTATCGCCTCCAGTACCTAAACTGTAACCTCTCAAGCGCGTTCTTCAAGGATCAACAAAGATGTCGACACCGCAGATGCCAAAGCCGCGCAATCTCTTCATTCAGATGTCTGGCGCGCCTGGGTCTGGAAAGAGTACGATAGCAGCACAGCTTGGACGACGGATTAACGGAGTGGTCATTGATCACGACGTGTTCAGATCCAGTCTTATCGAAACGGGCATTCCGTTCGAGCAGGCAGCAAAGTGTGCCTACCGGCTTCAATGGGCACAGGCACAACACATCATCAAGCAAGGCCTCAGCGTTATCGTTGACAGCACTTGCAACTACCAGGACATTCTCGACTGTGGATCCGCCCTTGCCAATCAACACTATTACACCTATTGGTATATCGAGTGCAGGGTCCAAGATATCGACTTGTTGGATGAAAGACTGCGCACCCGAGACCCAATGACGAGCCAGCGCACTGGCGTCGACCGTCCTCCCGCAGCAGCAGCAGAGAGCGACCACGCAGCCCAAGACTCTCGCGCCCTCTTCAAGAAGTGGATTGAGAGCCCGTTCCGTCCGAAAGATAATGTACTTATTGTGGATTCTACACGCAGCCCGGACATATTGCGGGATGAGATATTGAAGCAGATTACTAGTGGCATGGAGGCGAATCGTGCAGCGTAGCTCAGAGAGCCGGGCCATGAACATGAGAGGCAAATGACTGACTGCCTCGACAGGCTCGACTTAGCCTCGCGACTTGTCAGAAGTTTTAGTCTGTTGTGTTCCGGTTCTGTTACCCAAGAGATTACCGTGTAAGTCTATGTCTATAAGCAACAGAGGTCTATCTACAAACACGAGATTGATAAGGCCAGACGAAAGGAAATATTTACATCGCGCATGTGACCGGAATCCATCGACTCTTTTCCTACCTGATCTACCTAGAACTTACCAGCATTACGCTGGAGCCACTGCACCGCGGCGCCGGCGTAGGCCAGACTGCTGAGACGAGCATCACTGCGAACGTTGGCCAGCAGCTTGAGATACTCGCTGTCGGAACCATAGTGGTAGAAAGCCATCTTTTCCCCTCCATTCGCAAGCTCGACCCGCGGAAAGATATGCTCAAAAGACTTTGCGTTGTCCCACACAAGGTGCGAGTCCACTCCATAGCCTTATTGATGGCTCAATTGAATCCAAGCCTCCCGGCCCATGAACCGCGGGAGCACAATGTCGACTAGCAAGGGGCTCGTTCGCGCGGAATAGTCGTCTTCTCTCCGGGCTACCTGTTTCGCCAGATGGTGCGGCACGGACAACCCGCTTGTTGTCCGGATCAACTCGCTTCCCCTTTCGTGCGCTTCAATGTCTCGGAAATGCTTCGCGAAAAGCCGTCCGTCCTCCTTCACAGACCCGTCGACGCATACTCTCCAGGACGAGCTCGAGCCCGATGTCGGTCGCTTCGTGGCCAGCAGGCACACGTCGTCGCCTCCCAGAGCCAGGGGGCGGCTGAGCAGGAAGAATGAGTCGTTCTCGACGACCCACCGGCCGGGCTTTGGGAATGGGAGTTGGTTCGCCTGCAACACGGCCAGGTGCAGAGGCGAGATGCCAAAGGACCCGGGAGAGAGAAGTTTGTCGTTATTCCTGCCGGTGAACTGCGAACGGGATGATGATCCTGTTGACGAAATGTGTACAATCTTCAGACATCAATGGTGCTCTCTGACACCCCGTTATCTCTGAAGAAGGCATTGGTCCTGCGGGTTGACGCTGCAAGTATGTGAGTCTGTCCTCTCACGCCATTCGATGGGTGAATGAGCACGCAGGGGGAGTGGCGGATGGAGTCGATTGGGTTGGTTGAGAGGTATATGGTGGTCTCCTTGGGTAAGTAGGTGCCGACCATTGTACGGAACAGACTCTGAATTGTGGAGGCCGACCCCGTCTTGACAAGTCGTACGAAACGCTCTCGTTGTCGACAGAAAGCTGAGCTTTACCATCCAAGAGGGTGACAACATCATTCAACTTCTCGAGTCCCAAAAGGAACAGAGGGACGACCCTCCATGGTGTGCCCCGTCCCAAGGCGCAAGCGCAATCCGCAACGAAGTGTGCCGCCTCGCCAACCCTCACCCTCAGCTCAAAGGATCGCGCGCCATGGTGCTCGACCTGGTCGATCCACTTCTTCACCACTTTGTCGGATATGAGCGCTGGGAGGAGCGTCAAGGCGGCGCCGTTTGTGGTATCCAGACCGGGATGCTGCTGGATCGTGAGCGTGTGGAAGTCGCCGTCGGCAGAGTAGTCGAAAAGCTTTCCCTAATCTCCGAGAAGCCCGTTAGGGAGAAGAGAAGCTTGGAGATGTCATAACAATAATCGCCTCGCTCGAACTTTTTGTCGTCCACATGCCCGTCTTCTTCACGGCACGGCTTGCGCTCAAAAACAACGACTGGAGTCTCAGCCATGGTGCCCCGTTGCCGTCGATACCGTATCCCGTGGCGGACTTGCGGACCGTCAATTTTCCCTCGGGACCGGGGACCAACGTGACGGTTGCCGAGGACCCGCCCCCATCCAAGGCCACGGGACTCGCCGAGTTGCGGCCGGCGCCGTGCGGGGCAAGAATGACGGTCGTGCCGATGATGGTGTCGACTCGAAGCTCCGCGAGGACACGCTCGTTCAGCTTCCATTGTCTTTGCGACCGGAAACGTGCGAGGAACTCGTCGATGGATATCTTGTGCTCAAGCATGTGATCGCGCGGAACGAATACCTTGGAATACATGCTGTTTGCACTGTCAAGGATGGGTATCACCAAGTGCAGGCGATATTTCGACTCGAGGTCCATGACGTCCGCAGATCCTCTCGGGGCGGCTGGAGCTACCTCGCCCTTGTTTGCCTCAAGGATGTCTCCTGCCTTGTGCTGGATGAGCTTGATCAAGCCACAGATTGTCTCGACAGTTTCAAGAGTCATCATGTTGGAGATGGGAAGCGTCACTGAAGTTGTGGCCAGCAGTCGGCTATGCTTGAGGTCTCCTCCGACTCTGCCTCGCGATGCAAGCTTATCAATGGCGCCGACGCACGGCATCCTCTCTGTGCTGCAATGGACGTTCTCGGCCTTGGGAGTATTGCAGAGGACCTTTGCATTGAGTCCAAAGGCTATGGCGTCGATGGTGAGGCTTATTTGGTAGTGGTTTGTCGATAGGCTAGTTGGGATTTCTGGAAGATGATGCCGGAAATACCACCGAGAAGCCGACGGTACAGCTTTCCAGCCGCTCCGCGCTTTTCAAGAGCATCGATAAGTGACTCCAAGGCTCGAAGACACACAAAAGCGTTGGGTTCGGCCAACGCCTCGCGACGCAGGATGCCGGTAGGGTCTTTTTCTATCAGCTGGACGAGGGACTTGGAGCACACGATAAGGCCACCAGATCCTGTGCCGGTGAGAACCTTTGGTTAACCTAAGCTATAAATGGTGGCATGGGCGAGGCCGATTGAAGGCGGTTGGCCGTTGGTGGCACCAAAGCTCTGGGCGCTGTCAGAGATCAGCGGGATGCCGTGCTTGTCAGCCAGCTTGCGGAACGGGCCGAGGGCGCATTGAGTTCCCAGCCAATCAACCGTGATGATGGCTGCGGTCTTGTTCGAGATGGCACGCTTGGTACCCTCGTACGACAGGTGCCATGAGGCCGGGTCAACATCCACAAAGACAGGCTCAAAACCCTCTTCGATGACGGCTTCGATAGTCGCCCCAGCAGTTGTCGCGGGCACAATGACCTCCTTGCAGTCTTCAGAATCGCCTTTAGCGTGGACACCCTTGAGAACAGCTCGGATCGCATTCGTACCGCTGGTGACGCAAATGACGGATGTATTAGCCGTATCAAGCTTCAGGAACTCCCCGATGCGGCTTTGCAGAGTGACCCGGTAGCTCGCACCGGGTTCTCCAACCCCAGGAAGTATCTTGGAGACAAAGCGCTGCTGGCTAGGACGGCTCTTGGAGTCCTCGTTGGCCTCATTGGCGAGCACCGCGTCGACGGCGCTGGAGTCACCCTTGGGACGGTAGCCCTGAACCTGAATCAGCGGCACAGAACTTCCAGGAGGAAACGCTGGATAGCCGCCCAGTATAGCGAGCTGGCGATGAGTGCTTTGGACGGGAGACGTGGCGTACTTTGTCGTTGTCAAAGATCGGGGGTTACTGCTTCACTGTCAGAACATAAAACGAGCCTCTGGAGACGAGTATTGCTTCAACTCACCGAAATATTGAAAAGTTGTGTGATTCGATAGGTGATGGTCAACGAATATTGCGAAAATAGCCCAATGACACGTTGTCTTGATAGTAAGCTCGATGAACGACTTCAACCTTGGGAGCAAAGAGTCTGTTTACATATCCTTGGCTGTGACAACCAAAACGTCTCGAAAAGGGATGTTCAAGGCAAACGCCCCCCTCCCACTCACCCTTAGAAGGGTTAACTTAGCATTCATGATATCGGCATCTCGTTTCTTATCAAATGGTATCACAAGAATGCCCTTGCAGCTCTGTACTACTCGGAACAATGGCCGAGCAGGATCGCGGAAAGGCAGTCTGGCTTCCGACCCTGGGCAGAATGATCCCTATGGCGCACGAGGCAAATATTGTCTAGAGAGCTGAAGTTGCCTGAATCAATGCGACAGGATCGTCAGAGGAGAAAAAATGGCTGCTTTATTCCATACTCTGCAACTATACTGGCTATTCCATCCCGTGGTTTGCCCAGCCTTGCGGTCTTGCAAATCGAAGGGGCGATGAGAAAGATACAAGAGGAACACTTGGCTCGAACCAGGCTGCTGTGCTTATTCACCCACAGGATAAATCCCATTCCTCGCTTATTATCTACCAGGCAATCATCCCCAGCCGCCGGGCGCCCGCTTTGTTTTATTCTAGTTGCCATTGATCGCACTTGGCAGGCTTTCCCACACGCGCAAGTGTAGCTTAACAGGATACGAAAAGAAGAGAACAGAAAAGAAAAGACTAATATGGGAAATGACAGCCTTCGCTAGCGGGTCAGAAATGCAAATTGCCGTTACTTCCCCCTATCGTTCTGTACAGCATAGGCCTACGCTCTTAGCATCAACTAATTCACACCTGCAGCTTGGTGTTGCACCAACTATACCTAGGATAATCACGATGCTGCTTCCGCCCGAGATTGCGTGGCTGATCAGTGAGAAGCCTCCCCCCTTCCCGGTCATACTGCACTTACAATACTGTGTGTATTGTTTGGTGAGGATATTTTATTCTACGTGCTCGTGATTGATATCGACCTAGTTTGCGGGTCAAAATTGATGATTTCAAATTGTAAATTGAACCAGGCAGGTCAACGTACGGCTGTAGCAGAATCGAGAAGTTGTGGCAATTTAATCGTATGGTAGTCATCGATGATTCGCATCCCGTATCCCGGTGACAGCGGAGGCGGCCGCCCCGTGGCTGTTGCTAGCTTTGCTTCTCTCAGCTACCCTAGATAGAGATGGACAACAAAAGTCGGGAATCCGACATCAAGATAGTATTCGGTGCAGCTAGGTATTGCCACGCTTTCGTTTTCGTATTTTGCGTCACATGAGCTCTAATGAATTCAACATGCGGTGAAGTATCTTCTACGTGTCTTGCTACCATTGAACCCACTGGAGCAAGAGGTAGTCTGTTGCAGTTTGGCTGGTCGAATGGCCACCCATGATTTCGCCGGAAACCACGCGCTGGCCTTGCTTTGGCATGCAAAAATAGCCGCCAGTTGTCTCACCAGACCAATAGGAAATCACAGACAGGAGAGGACGCCGGTCATTTGTAATAAGCTCCCTCTGTCCAGCTGCTCCCAAGCGCACTGTCACCGACACGTCCCTTGATGCCTTACCAGGGACTCCACTGCCCGTCAGGATGGGTTGACCCAGCATTCATGATAGTATCGGCATCCCGTTTCTCATTAGATGGTGTCACAAAGAATGCCCTTGCGGCTCTGTACTAGGTACTCAGAGCAATGACCGAGCCGGATCACGAAGAGGCATATTCGCTTCCGACTTCGGGCAGCAGTGTTCCTGTGGCGCATGAGGCAATATTAGCTGAAGTTGCCCAAATCAATGCGACAACATGCTGAGTCATGCATTTGGGCTCGCCAGGATCGTCGGAGCTCACGAAATTGGGCTGCGACCGAGTCTTGGGCAGATCCGCCCGGTCGGAAGAGCCCTGGCGCTTGCTAGGCACTCGCTGTTCGGGAAATGGGCCAATGTGCTCCGTACTGCCAGCAATGCCCCTTCACCGCCAACACAAGTCCTGATGAACATCCGGCGAGGTGACGATGACAGGCCGTGTCCCAGGGCCGTGTCCACGGCATGACCGCATGGGCTGCCCCGAGGGCTAGACGAAAGGCCACAGACAACGCGTAGCACGGCTCCAGCAACTGACGGTAAGAAGTGGAAACTTCCAAAGGCCAGGCTCTCGGATTTGCTCGATACACCCACGGGACTCAACCCTCGGATGATCCTGCCGCTTATTCATTGTCTGGATTCTTGGGGATCCAAGTTTTCCGATGCGACATCTCGTTGACGCATCTCCAGCACGGCAGACGACATGGCCATGCTCACCATCTGTCGGGCAATCGGCTCAACATGCCCTGGGGAAATAGTACTTGAATCAAACGGTATTCGCTAGGGCTCGCCGCTGTGCGCCAATACTCGTACTGTAGATAAGAACCCACCCCCCCTCTGGTGAATCATCTCATCAGACATCCGAGCGAGCAATGTTGCGGAAAGGGCTTTTGCCTGACAAAAGTCGATAACCCGTCAACCGAAGCATTCCACCTCTAGGCATAGCTCACTGGCTGGCTGATTTGACTCGATGCTCCATAGTTGACGCATCTCCCTAGGCTAGATAGCAGGAGTATTAGCAAGAGCAGCTTCAGATGCCAAGTAGTGTTCTATGTAGTGCTTGTGTCTTCGTCGTTTGGGCCCAATCAGTGCGTTCGCATGCTCAGAGAAGGGCATCACCGCCAAAGCTCAGGTGGGCGGCACAGAGCATGGCATAAACTTGCACTGGAGAGACGTGTCTGAGCATGATTGAAAGAGCGGCAGCCATCCCGAGAGAGTACAGTAGTTTGCGCGGAAGCCCATGGCGACATTTCCGGTGCGGTGAGATATCTGCCTCTTTGGTTGACTGGTCAGACCTTGTGGATTCAATGCAGCATGGAACGCAAGCCGTATCGTCGCCCGTGGCAAGCCTCGCTCTGCCTCGAGCAGGCGCGCAATCACATTTACAGTACGAAACTGATACGGAGTCCTCCGCCCTCTTCTCCGCCTCCTCACCTCGCCTTCCCCTCACGCACTCATGCAAGGCGCATGCAGTAGAAATGGACGAACAAGTAGACATTGTGGGGGAGACCCGCATGACGTGAAACCTGTGGAAATTATGACGCTCACGTATGTCTCATGCAAACCGCGTACCTTTTCCGTTACAGCCGCTGTTTGCTTGGGCCACCAAGGTACGCAGCTCGCAGCGAATAGGATCAATGCCAGTCAATGGCCAATCTCGTCCGCAAGACGTGTCGAATTGACCCCTCATGCTGCTAGCCATGCGAGTTTGTACATGGGGAGAGCTGCAGCTTTTGCAACTGATCTCTTCTGCCAATAGTACCTAGGCCTTGGCAGCTTGACCTTTGAAATTGATCTTTTTGTAAAGCTCCAAGAGTGCACGTAGGTTGGGCCTTGTCTCCAACTGAAATCGCTGTCGGTTAACTTGTAACTTTTTGCAAAGCGGGCTTGGTATCCCCAGAGATATGAGCCTTCAACAAGCTGTTAGCACAAAGGGGGGCAGTGACCTTGGGTTGATGTGTAAAAAGGCGCGGAACAGCCAGTACATATTTCAGTACTTCGTACGTACGGAGGACGCAGTATGCGTTACGGCGGTACATAGAAAAGAAGGCGGCAAGATTCAATTTGCCGCCTCGCTTGATGCTTGGGGACAGCGAATGCTGGAGTGCAAAATGCAGATCATTCTAGACTTGCCACATCCAAGAACGATCACAGTATGTTGCCGTATCCTCACCAAACAATCCACACAGCACTGTACTCGTAAATACAGTATCTTGTACTTCGAACCTGGTTGGCCTCTACAGACGGCCCTCCCAAAATTCTACATGGGTGACAGGGGAGCTTTTCACTGATCAGCCACGCAATATCGGGCGAAGCGGCGCCGTGATCATCCTAGTGGTGCAACACCAAGCTGCAGGTGTGAAATTGCTCGATGCTGAGTGTATACGAGCACTGGACAGAATGATAGGGCGCTTGATTGTGCAGGGGAAAGGGGGAGAGGGGTGACAGCAGTTTGCGTTTCTGACCCGCTAGCAATGGCTGTCATTTCCCATGTCTTTCTTTTCTTTTTGTGTCCCGTCAAGCTGCACTCGCGTGTGTGGGAAAGCCTGCCAAGTGCGATAGGGCCCAAGACGACGCGGCGCCGACGGCTGGGTGATTGCCTGGCAGTAAGCGTTATCCTGTGTGTAAATGCACAGTAGTCTGGCTCAAGCGAACTGTTCTTGTATTTTCTCATTGCAGAGAGTATGGGCGAAGCAACCATTTCCTCCCCCTCTTCGTTGTATGACCAGACAACGCGTGGTTCGTCACATGCTACAGCGACTCGGAAAAGGAGCTAGGTGCTTGAAGGCGGCAAGTGTTCCAAGTGGTTTGGATGGCTTGTTTCAGGAGTTCAATGAGATGACATAAAACAGAGGCTCCAAGTTGGGGGAGCTGGCATCCGACGGTACTACCGCACCCAAAAGTTAGAACCCGATGCCGTGCAAGGGAAACGCGCAGTTTGCCGTGTCCATTTTTACACACATGGCCATATTCGTCTTTGACCAGAGTGGCTGATGAGGAGCGTTCGTCCATCACGAGCCATGCACGACATTTTTTGGAGTGCCGGAGCAGGCCCGCCCGAAAGCAACGAGCACACAACCAAAGGCAGCGAGCGTGGTGCATTCCTCCCAGGATTCGAGGGAATCTGTCACGAATCCTGGTTCGCTAGTACAGAGTCGTACTAGCACGCTCTCCGCAGCAAAGAGCAGCCTGGCGCAAACCCACTCCTCGAAGTACATTGCCAATCAACCTGGCATCCACTGTCTTCAAAAATAGAGACGGAAGGAGGCTCATCGCCTCGGCGCTTTTGGATCGTCGAACGATGGCTCAGCGGCAGTGCGTCTGTTGGTACATAGTGTAGCGTCGTCTACCCAGCAGGCCGGGATTTCGTCTTCGAAGAGGGCCTTGGACAGTGGCGGAGGTGCCCGCAAATGACAGACTGAGACTTGCAGCACTACAGGCACGAGCAGCATCGTGTTTGTCCCAGCTTGAGACCTTTTCCTGCCTCTGTGGGTGGTGTGACTGGGAGACGAGAGCCTTGCAAGCATTCCTGCTACCACCACATTGTCCGTACACAAACAAGGGTTTGGAGTAATAGCGCTGGATGCCTTGAGGTCCCCTTGACAGCGGCCAGACCGCCTTTGCCCCAACGGCCAGAAAGGGACTCGCCCACTGCAACCCCCCTGTCCACGAGGCAAAGAGCCAAAAATTGCGTTGTCTGATTTCGGTGGAGGCGTTGCGCGACGAAAACTGGAGCGGCCGGAGCGGACGGAGTACAAGGACAAGCCGCAGCAGTACCTGGGCAGTACGAATCGCGGTATTGCTCCGGGACTCACGGTCAGATCAGGCACCCGCCGAATAAACGCGCGGCGCGGAGGACTTGCTTTGTACTGATGGAGACACATCTGGTCGAGCGACGAGTACCAGTGATCGTACCAGTTTGCACTCGTGCCTGTACAACGCAGCATTGAGAGGCATCGCATTAGCTAGTCGGTAGTGACCTTGTAGGTATCGCCGCTAGCTGGTGTGCGAGCAGGGCGGCATCCCCCTCGTCCAGATTGGACATGAAATGCTGTGATTCCCTCATGTGATCACAAAGCATGATCAAACGGCAATCATCGTATCTTTGTAAAGCAAAGAGAAGAGTCAAGCGGTATACGACAACACGGCTTGGTATTGGAGACAATACGAGAGAGGCAAAAAAGAAGAAGCCTTTGTTGAGCAACTTGTCCGTCATGAGGCGGGATGCAGAGGCAACATGGCGTGCGTATCGCATCTCCAAATGGCGACAAGTGGCTGCGATCCCCTCCTCCTCCCCTCCTTCCAGCTTCCAGAAGTGCCAAGTACCGCGCCTGTACTCCGTGCTCCGTGTTTCTCTTTGGCATCGTATTTGGCTGCGAAAATTGCCTAGTAGGGACGGCACACGGAGAGCAATGAGCCACCAGGACGGCAGAACTGAGTCAGCAATCTCGCCTCCCGCCACCACGATTAGTGGCAGCATTAGGTGCCTAGCAAGATGCTCAGTATTGAGGTTGCAAGGAACGAGCATCAATACCTCGAGTCGTTATTGACGGCCCGTAGAAGAGGCAGCACAGCACAGCACCAAGGAGCGGCGAGCTGAGACTGAGGGGACGGGCGAGCTTTCATTTCTCTCTTGCCCGTCTCTGTCTCTCCCGCCTTTTGTCTCACTTGTCTGGATACATGGATGACAAAGTTACCAAGGTTAGTACTGAGCACTGAAGGGAGGGAGCGGTACGGGTAACTCGCACCTCCCCTAGTGGCTGCCTGTCGCTCATTACCTCACTGCCTCACCACTTGATACGTTTTCGGGGCCCGTGCGCCGGCCTTGGCAGCAGTTGGAAGTGGCAGGAACAAGAGCAGGTCAGTCGCAACAAGCAGGAAGAAGCAGGAAGCAGCAGCAAAAATGGCAGAGGCAGAGGCAGGAGCACAGCAGCCTGGCACGAAAACAGAAACAAGCTGCGGCCAGGGATAAGCCGCCCAAGGCATGACGCTAGGCCCAAGGCGATGAGGCCACCAAGCCACCAAAGACGCACACACGCAGGCATTTTGCAATGGGCAGGGAGTGATTGGGCCAGTGGGATCAGTCACCACTACTGTACAGCACTTGTACCTCCAAGCTGAGAATATCTGATCCCCATCTTTAGGTGCTGAGTGCACATTGGCTACGAGGTTGGTAGTTGCAGGCAGAGATATCCAGAAAGCACCAAGTGCCCTTACACGCGGTAGACGCTCAAGCTGCCATACATGACGCAAGGACGGGCGAGCGAGCGAGCGAGACACCCGCGCGACCTTTGGACGATAAGAATACAGTGACTCTTTGCGGATGCTGTGGAGGCGGAATCTGCGCCTGGTGTGCTGGCTGGGCCACTGGAGCGTCCGAGCCTGGCAGCCATTCGCCAGCCACAGGAGGGGAGAAGTGAGGGGCGGGACAGGCCTGGAGAGACGCTGGGCCAATCACGGCGCGCCAGGCCGCAGATTGAAGAAGCAGCGGACGAGCCAGCCGGTCGATGGTTGTTGCCCTTTTTTGCAGCGCCTCTCAAAGTTCCCGAGCAGCAGAGAGACAGAGACAGGTACCAAGGTAGGTACCTGTCGCGGTACAGCTGGGCCCTCTTGGCTCTCAGGTTGGTCCTCGCGGTGCATCAACAAGCACCCACAAGCGCACTAGAGGAGGTACATGTCGAGATACACGTCGAGATACACGTCGAGATACCCGTCGAGGTACCTTAGTACCTAGGAGCGCTAGAAGCTGCCAGTGCAGACAGTGCTAGGCTTGAACCTTTCCTAGTGCCGGAACCAGGCTAAACTAAGAAAAATGGAAATTCCAGGTTACCGCTGCGGTACATGTAATAATGCATGTCCCAGAAGGTACCTTAGTACTGACCTACCTGTACGAACTCGATCCCCCTTGCTGTATGTACAAGCACTCGTACCCTCGTACTCCCGCACTTTGGTGTCTCGTCGTCCCGCCGCCCCCGGTCGCATTTCCTGACTGGCTGGCGCTGCTTCAGTCTGACTCTGGCTCTGGGCCTCTCTTGCTGCCATTCAAAACTATGCCACGACCCCCATGGCCGTCATCGATTCTGCTCTTCTTCCCCCATCGAACGTCGCGATGAAGTTCGGTACCGCATTGTAAGCTCGCCAGCGACTCTCGAAGTCTGCTCCGGTGCCTCTCTACTCTACGGCGCATTATCGTTTCATTTAATACTGGGAATCTCTTCTTTTTTTGTTTTCCTTTTTTTCCTATCCTCACGTCCCGTTTTGTCCTTTAGCCGTGTCCTTGTCTTGTGCACTTTCTGTCGCATCTCATCCCCTGTTGTACCTGGACAACGCCGCAATACTCACACTCAAACTCACGGCTCCATCGCATCTTCTGGCTTTTTCTCTCCCCCCCCCAGCCAACTCCGTCATCACCAGCCACGGCCCTGCTGACCTGGTAAAAGAGGGAAAAGAAGAAGAAAGAAGAAAGAACAAAAGAGGACAGCTGTGCATTGCTGCCTGTGCTCTTTTGACCGCTCTCTCCCTGGCTCCTGGCCTGTTTTTCTGTGTCCTTGTTTTTTTTATTTTTATTTTTTATTTTTTTTTAAATCACTCGACTCCTTTGTTTTTTTTTGGTGGGCGAATCGACTCACTCGGCCTCGCCACTTGTCTGCTCAGTTGACGAGCGCTGTGGCCCCGGCTCTCCAGGCGCTGTCTCACTCACTGTCACTGCCTAGCCTTAGCTGCTCGGGCGCTGTGCTCCGAAATCGCCAGTTGGCGGCCACCTGCCCAGTCCACTCGCCACCTCAGCGCGAAGAGTCACACAGCCGGCGCTTTGTATCCACTCCCTACCTAACCTCGCTATTGCGCTACACATAGCACCAGGCTGTCACCTCGCCGCCTTGCATCAGCCCCCCGAGACTTCAGGCCACGCTGTGAAGAGTCACATCTCGCTCGTCGCGATAAATACGCTGCACGCTGCCCTGACAGCCTCCTTCAGCCCGTACCTGCATATCCATCTCGATGATCCCTGGCCTCGACTCATCCCTGTAACCGCTGCCCGTCGCGTCGCCAAAACCGAAAGCCAGCCGCTTCACACTCGCACTCGCACTCACCCTCGCCCTCACAGCCACAACGCCTTCGTCATAACAGCAGCAACAACCGACTCCAACCGCCTCGTCACCCGATGATAGACTTGGTCTAAGAGTCTCATCAACTCCCTCCCACAACACTAGCCGCCAGAGCATTGGTTTCGCGATGCCTCTTGCAACCTACAAACTTTCTCCAGTCGCCGTCTCAGCTTCGTCCACCGGTCTGCTTGTTCGTGAAAAGTCGACTCCCCTTCTTATCTAAAGAAGGCCCTCTTCTCTTCATCTCGAACACGGTTCTTCACGCGGTTGCATTCACCATCATCGGATGCTATTGCTGTAGGGCTAAAAGCAACACGACTCGGTAACGCTCGAAACTGTCACAATCTTCCGGTTGACTTAGCCTTGACGGCGACTGGAAACGTCTTTACAACTACCTCCTCCCATCACAACTCGTCAAAATGACGTGCGAAACTACAATCTCGCCCCTCTTACCCTCCTATGACCCTTTGAGTCGATATGCCCCCTATAACTCGTCTATATCCTCCTCGGCTTCGGCCTCTGCCTCCTCGGTGTGGTCCGGATCCGACACTGCCTCCCAAACCTCGGACGATGCCTCTGGCTCTATCTCATCCGACAACGACTCATGCACCTCGTACTTTTCCTCTCAGGCGTCCTCGACAACCACTCGTCGACCTGACCTTACCAAGCAACGTCAGCAGCAACAACAGGTTGTCCCTGTTGAGTTGCGCCAAAACCCTAGACGCACCGCTGCGGCGGCTGGTGGCGCGGGATGCCCCCCACCATCACTTGTTCGGCAGTCGGATCGCAAAGTGAACTTCGTCGATAGCCTTGTCGGTACGTGCCTCTCACTGACACAGCCCTTGAAGCCAAAACTCCCGTGCTTAGCCTTTATGTTTCCAGACTCGTCCACCCAGATTGTTGAAGCCATCTGGCCTCTCTCTTCCGCTCCGTGCCGCCCGGAGCCTGGCAACAGGACCGTGCTGCCGCTGCGCACCTTTATCCAAGAGACGCTTCGGCGCTCGCGCACGAGCTACTCGACCCTGCAAGTCGCGCTGTATTATCTCATCCTCATCAAGCCTCACGTTCCCAAGCGTAGCTTTACTACGGAGCAGTACGAGGACCGCTTCGCCGACCGGGCTCTTCAGTGCGGCCGGCGCATGTTCCTCGCGGCCCTGATCCTTGCTTCCAAGTATCTTCAGGACCGCAACTACTCTGCACGTGCCTGGAGCAAGATCTCTGGCCTCAATGTCCAGGAGATCAACCAGAACGAGGTCGCTTTTCTTCTCGCTGTCAACTGGAAGCTACACATCACTGATGAGGTTTTCCGACGATGGACCGAAATTGTTCTCAAACATACTCCTCCCCCACCCCCGCCGTCGCCCGGTGCCGTCTCACAGACTTTGGCTCAGCAAACGTCGGAGTGGAAGCAAGTCATCCTGGGACTGAACCCGGACCTGACCAACATCGAGGGACTCATTCCCGCCCTCCGCATGCCTGCGAGATCCAGTGATCTCTGCGCCCTATCACCTCGTAGTATTCTCAACCTCCCCACGGAGCAGCGACGTGTGCCCACCCTGGCTTCGACCGCGGCCGAGGAAGAGACTTGCGATCCCAAGTTTCTCACCAAGTATCTGCCTACTCCCTTGGAGCCAACCCCCACGATTTTTACGGCCACTCCCGGCCGAATGGCCCCTGCAATGGGTCTTCTTCCGACCCCGCGCCTGACACCGCAAGCAAGTGGCATCTGCACTCCCGCAGTGAGTGCTGCATCACACCTTCTCGGTAAAAGCAACGCAATGTGCCTGGCCATGGCCCAAGCCGGCAGCATCAACACCGCTCAGCACCTGGAGCGCTTTCCCGCGACCCTGTCGGCATCCCCCCAGAACTACTGCCCCGCTCGCCGTTCTTCTCTTGCCAACTCAATCTCGACCATGTCCTCTCCCGAATCGATGGTTTCGGATCTTTCGCACACCTCTCGCTCGTCCTCCGTTTCGTCTGCCTCGTCTTTCGCTAGCGCGACCCTCAACAGCTCGTTGACGGCTCAGTCGCGATTCCGATCGATGAAGGCGATGAATGAGAGATCGTACTTGAGGTCGACAGTCCCCACCGTCTCGGAGAGCTACGAAGAGTATGGTTTCACGTCGTCTCCCGAATCGTACACCGGCCCGGTTGCGAAGATTGGGAGCCTCGCTCTGGAAACCCCCCTGGCAAGACAGCAACGCGAGCTGGAAGGAATGTCCCGGGATCCCGACTCGGATGCCGCACGTGCTCTCCAGCACCTGCACAGCCAGAGCATCCGCGGTGTTGACTTCAAGCCCACGGCGCCCATCGCGGCCAAGGCTGGCATCAAGCGTAGCCGAACCGCATCAGTGGACCAGCCCCTGCAGGATCACGTACGGGAGATGCTCTACCCACACGGCGCCGGGAGCGCTCCCTGGCCCATTGCGCGCTCGCGAGGACTCGACGGAACGGAGCCCTACTTGCAGGTACCCGTTCGCCCCAGCCCAGGAGAAACAAGGAAGAGGCTTTGTTGCTCCGCTCAAGCGGCCAGTGGCTATCAGGCAGCAACGAGCGCATTTCGCCCACGAGAGCCAAGCTTTTGGGGCATCCTTAACTGAAATTTACCCGGGGCGTTTATTTACACTGTCAAACTTTTCATACGCGAATTACCATCGCCATCAATCTAATGCTGTTCTACCATGGATCGGTCTGGCTGTAATTTACCGATTCCGCCCTTCGTTTCTCTCTCTATTTGCTGCAATTTATTTTTTCCCTTTGTTAGAAGACTTTTTAACGGTTTTTATATGGATGGCGCTCGAAGGGGGAGAGGCCAGGGGGCGTCTCGTTGACAACAGAGCTTTTGATATCGCACACCTCGGGCAGAGGGCACGTTTGTGCAAGTAACATAAACCACCGGACATGGCATTGTCCAAAGGCAACGGTTTCCGCCTTGGAAAAAAAAGTGCGTTTAATCTATTTACTGTTTCTTCATCCAGGAACAAGGGAAATTACATACGGATGGCTACAACGACGGTGATGAAAGATATCCTGTAAAGTGTGGAAGAAAGCAATTTAAAGGTTTTGCCCGGCAGCTGAGGGGCCCGGAGGCTGTTTCTGTGTGTTTTACTTGTACGACTAGAAGCTTTTGATTTCCTTTGCGACTTTCGACCTTTTTTTTTTCTTGCTCTATCTAGGCGATAGCCAAAGCCCCATTTGCTTGGATCCCGTCCTCCTGTTTCGAAGAGAGGATGGAGGAGAGCGAATGGGAAAGAATTCAAACATGATGACGAGCAGCTTTTGGGCCTTTGTTTTTCTCCAAATGTGATGCATGTGATGTTTGAGTGACCAATGAATATTACCTGAGCCATGAAAGCACCTCTAATCTGCTAGTTAATTCCTTCACCTCCGGTTACCCAGCTTGCCCAAGTATGTACCAGTATCTACCTACTACCAAGTAAACAAACGATCCCTCGTCCAAGTCCGCGGATTGCATTAGCCAGAGTGCGAGATTCCCACCCCAGCCACGGTGCAGGGCAGCCTTGATCGAACTCTCTGCTTACGAACAACTCCTCAGCAGCCTAAAGAGAGGGAGGGAGAGGGAGAGAGGGGATCAAGGGGGGGGCCACCACACAAGGTTTACTGTAGGCCAAGCCATGTCGAGATTCCCAGTGCGCGAAAATTCGTTTCTGACTTGCGTTGCGTGCGTGAAACCGCCCACCGAGTGAGTCATGGGCGTCGTCCCGACATGGGGGGGGGGGCCCTAAAATTTGCTCCCTCCCAGCTCTTTTCCTGAGGCCGGGAGCTTGCCTGATTGGGTAAGCGGTGGCGACTGGAGGGAGGGCTGTTCTGTGCTCCAGTTTACATGTACATGTGCACTGTGGCTTGTCAAAGACGGAACTTGCGAGGATGCGCGCACAAGCACGAAGTAGCTGTAAATCGCGGTTCTACGGAAGCGAGCTGGGTGGCTGTCCTAATCCAACTCGCCGAAAGAGGAGATTTCCTCGATACACACACACACGGTGGAGCCCCCTCGTAAGCCAGGCTGGTTGGCTGGGCAGGATCCTACACGGAGAACATGGTGATGCCGCCTGTCTCTTCACGCCGACACGCAGCCATACGGTGCAAAGGGCGTGAAGGGAAGACGACGACCTGCCGTGCATCAGGGTATGTACGAGTACATGTCGCGACTCGTGGGCGGGTGGAGTTGGCTTGCCTCTCCCATGTCCCCCTCATGGCCGATATGAGAGTATAAACGGGCTGCTCACACACATATCCCCTCATGGCTGCAGCTGCTCTCAAGAGCCATACGTGTTGTCATGTAAATGGCCTTGTTGCTATCGAATTGTCATTCATTGCCGTCCTTTGGACCATTTCTCGAGAGAGGAGAATCTGTTAATGTAGTTTGGATTAAAAGTCATATCATCAGTCTGGTAAATAAACTCCAAGTGTTTGATAGCCACCCTCTGGCAACATTATTTGGGACAAATGAAAAACCACATTTCCTTCCTTACCCATTTGCGCACACACTCGCACACAGAGACCTTACAAAAAGAAAAAGAAAGAAAGAAAGACAGCAGGCAGCTGAAGTGGTACCGCCGATGGGGGCCGCTGCACGATTCAGATTTTCCGAGAATGACAGTTGTGGTTGTGGACGTGGACCAACCATGGCGGGCTAAATAAAGCTGGAACTTCCCGTGTGGTTGGTTCGCCTGTCTATGCGTCAGGCTTATCCAAAGGCCAAGGAGAACGCGCTGTTCTCATCCCGACAAACGTGAGTCGGGGAAAAAAAGGGAGCATGGCGGCCAGCAGAATTACTTGGTAGTGAGTGCGTGGGCGTGGCCAGGCGTATGATTGACCGGATTCTGAGGGGGCTGTTCCCTTCAGCCGGATTGCTTGCTCGCTTTGTGCAACGCCAATGGGTGTTGCAGTTGTGTATCCGTTTGACGAAGAAGGATGGATGTTGTGTAACCACCCCTTAAGCTCACCTGATCATGAGTTGAATTTAATGCGTTGATGCGTTGATGCTGCAGCGGGGCTGCAGTTGGGGACTCCCATGTCTCCAAAAAACATATTTCTCCAGCCTTGATATTTGGCCGAGAGATAGAGACCCTTCACGAAGCCTAGGCTGCATGGGGGAGGAAGAGCACAGCCGGCAAGATTGTTGATATGCTCGCTCCCCCATCATCATCCTGCTCCACCATGGTTGGTTGTCGTATATTTGATAGCTGCAGTGACAGTGATGGCCTTGCCAGCGCATGCTTTGAAAGCTTGGATGCTTATCGGCAGTGGCGCTAATAAGGGTAGGAAGGGACGAAGAATGAGAGAGCCTAGATGTCGGTCCGTCTAACTAGAAGATCCTCGGGCATATGCAGTGAGAAGAAAAAGGCGCTTCGGACTCGTCGTAACAGATCTCTAGTCTGGTGTGGATCGCCTCCCCATTGAATTCGACGTTCCAGCCCGACAACCTCCTTCCTCACAACGTCTGAGGGCAGGCCGTCAAACACCCAGGTGCGATAGAGGCAGTTGATGGCTAGCAGATTGGGCACCTCGGCATTCAGCATGGAGTTGCGAATCAGCTCCATCTTGACTTCCCAAGGAGGCTGGACTATGAGTTTTCCGCAAGTCATGTAACCGCCGCGACAGAGCCAAAAGAGTTGCCGCTGCGATTCGTCATCCCACGGGCCGGTAGTGAGCCTATCCGGAATACGTGTCAAGGGGTGTATATCTTGCGAAAACCAATGAACGCCTCGGGCGGCAAAGGCTGGCCATTTGATGGCTTGCTGGTAATCTGCTTCGAAGCATTCTCGAGCATTGAAGTGACAGAAACCCCCGTCATAGTCATGGCCAACCTGTTGAGCATTATCAATCCAAAAAGCGCCGTGTTGGTAGTGGCGCCCTCGCCCATGATTCTCAAACCAGGTCTGCTGCGCTTGCAATATTAAATCTATGGTGATCCAAGGTTGGTTAAGCACCTGAGTCTGTATGCATCCATGGGCTGAATTAGCATTGCGTTGTCATGACCAAATCGCCTTTGTGGTGTACTTGAGATCTGGCTTGGGAAAGAGAGGAAGGAATTGACGAACCTGGAATACGGGATCTCCACAGCAGGGGACATGTTGGGCATCTTCTAACCAAGGTCCATGGACAATCGCAGGATTGGTCGGGATGCCGAACCATTGGTCCCACGTCTCATGAAACGCCCGGATGAAGAGACGCAACAGAGTAGCCCGTCCCGAAAGCTTCATGCCAATGTAGTTGCTCACCAGGGGCAGGCTGAGATTGGCGCTGTAAAGGAGGATGTTCTCGAGAATTTCCCCCGGGAGAGAGTCGAGCGTGCTCCGCTGGCGCGTCGCTCGGGCGGCCATGACGGAGGACAATGACTTCCTAGTCCGCAGGGCCTTTGCGGGCGGCTGCTCTTGTAATGACCGGGGCCGGCTGGTGGCAGGTGTTTTGCGCTTGCCTCTGACGCGAACCTTGGTGAGGTCCATGACGAGAAGAAACTACTTGAAACAGTCGAGCATTTGACGTTGGAAAATGCCTGGCCAACTCCAGCAATCGTTTGCAATCGATGAGAGGCACGGTCTGGGGATCGGCCGGTGTCTGGGGGAGAAATGCCAGGCAATTTAAGGTGGAGCCAGAGTCCCTCGCGGCTCGACTACCGAGAGCTCTTGTCTTGTTGCGGTAAGTCGTGGCCAAGACGGCGGTGAATAAACTTCAGCCGAAGGATTCCCCCAAGGTCAGGTTTGGGGATTTTGTGCAAATGGCGACGCGACACCAGAAACGAGTGCATCCGCTGGGATAAATAGTCGCTGGGCGAGCAGCCAGGGCGCTCGTCGGGGGGGCATTAGCTCCATGGGCTGCTTGAGAGGCTTTCCGCCTCCCTACTTCATGCAGCAGAGCATGTGAAGGCTGGTCTCAGAAGATGACGTCGTCGAGGGTTGCACCTGAGGAAATGTTGCAAAATGGCGGCTGCGCATTGGCTGTCAAATGAGGAGGATGAATGCATACTGAGACAGACAGAAAGTAAGACGGCAAGATGAGGTTGATGTTGGAAATGGAATTGAAGTTGAACCCAACGATGTACATGGAGAAAGTACCCCATTATTCCTGTAGCTTGTCACTTGAGGCGTTCCTGCGTGCTTCCTTCCGCATGGACTGGCCGTGCGCTGGTGGGCAGGAACCAACCAGGCGGGTAGGACGAGGGTGGTCCGTGCGCACCGATTGCGATAGCGAGGTAAATTTTGGACAAGACGCTCATCGACGGCTTGATACTGAGATGCCGCAATAACGAACTGAACAGGGCGCGCAGGCGTCGTCAGTTTTATTTGCCTTGTACCATACCGTTGATTTCATGGCTTCTGTTTAACATCTATTGCCATCTTTTCCTCTGCCTTGTCATCCACAAGGGGCGACAGTTCCGCTGATACGTTGATACGCGCCATCGATCAACACCAAATCCGAAATCGAAAGTGTCCATGTTGATGCTCGTTTGCCCCCGCGCCATTCCATAGCGATGCAGTCAGCGGCATTACGGTCGCCGGTGCCCTCGCGGAGTCTCTTGCGATTCTTGCGCTCGCAGACCGACATCCCGTTCTTCGGCTACAGCTGCGCTCATGCATGCCCGAGTCGAGTGACAACCGCAGCCTCCGGGCAGCGAGTCGCCAGAGCGCATTCAACCAAGACCGGCTCCGGTGCGCCCGCCGCTTTTACTGATCTGGAAGCCTCAATCTTCGGCTCGGAATCGCTACAGGTTGGAAAAATATTCAAAAGGGCTTGCGCGCGGACTTTGAAGAGGAGATCCTTCTGCACCTCATCGACTGCGTACCAGAAAGTGTCTAATGCGAACGGCGATTCGGCTCCCACCTGGCAAGAGAGATTATGGGGTATTGGGGCACGGGGAGGTGCCAAAGCCCTCAAGCCGGACGACCTGCCTTCTCGCGACGACATGGAGCATGGTTCGTCCATGTTCACCAACCGCCGAATCCTGTCAGCCAAGGCGGCGCTGGAGCCGCGGCTTCGATGCACAGAGGTCGATGAGAATGGCAGGGTGATTCTTATGGACGGCGAATTCAAGAAATCGGAGCTTATCGCAAAGGTATGATGATTTGCGCTCTACTTCTGCCAAGCAGAGAAGCACCTGCGGTGACAACGACGGTACTAACCATGAGGGTGTGCATTTTCAGTACGGCTTACTGCCCCGCGATCTTCGTAAAATCGACTCGTCGAATCTCCCACACATACTCGTTCGTCCTTCGGCCATTCTACTCAATCTACTACATCTCAGGGTCCTGATCAAGCGTGACCGTGTGCTGCTATTTGACGTCTACGGCTCCAAGACGTCTTATCCGCAGTCTGCTTTCATGTACGACCTCCAGGGCAAGCTGCAACAAAAGCCCCCTCCTGGTGTGCCGGGACTACCCTACGAATTTCGAGCTCTCGAAGCCGTGCTGACCTCGGTCACGTCCGAGCTCGAAGCAGATTTCGAGTCGGTACGCGAGCCGGTCATGCACGTCCTCAGCGAGCTCGAGGACGACATTGACCGGCAGAAGCTGCGCCAGTTGCTCATCCTGTCGAAGCGAGTCAGCACATTTGAACAAAAGGCAAAGTTGGTGCGGGACGCCATTGAAGAGCTTCTGGAGGCGGACGATGACCTGGCAGCCATGTATCTGACGGAAAAAGTGCACGACTTGTATAGAAGCACCGACGACCATACGGAAGTTGAGATGCTACTCGAGTCGTATCATAAGCTCGCGGATGAAATTGTGCAGGAGGCCAGCAACCTGGTGTCTGGTATCCGGAATACAGAGGACCTGTGAGCTTTCCTTTTCTCTCTATACGTGTCCCTTGAATTATTCCAACGTGCTCTAACACCTGCAACAGCGTACGAGCTATTCTCGATGCCAACCGCAACGCCATCATGCTCCTGGAGCTCAAATTCAGCATTGGGACGCTGGGGCTGGCAATGGGCACCTTTATTGCTGGGCTTTACGGTGCCAATCTGGAAAACTTTATCGAAGAAACGAACTGGGGCTTCGGCGCCGTCACGGCTACATCGATAGCCTTTTCTCTGCTTGTCTGCTGGTATGGACTGGTCAGGCTGCGCAGGATCCAGCGTATCAAGATGGCGGGCGATGAGCGGCCTCGGCTATCTCGCGGGCACTCATACTACGACGACGGCGCTGCCCTCGGCATCCTGGATGCCAGGAACAGGGAGCTGTTGCTACGAGCACACATGCAAAGGGCACTCAACAACAAGAAGAGATGGTGGTTCTCACGATGAGGCATGAACATGTATGATATACGAGAAAGAGAAGAAAAACAAGGGACGTTCCGGCGGCAGCTTACTAACATATGTTCCTCCCCCCTTTATCCCCCCCCTCCCCTGTACGGCATATAGATGGCGTTGTGAGCGGGCTTGTGAATTTCACATGTACACTTTTGGCTCAACTCGCTCGCTCTATTTCTTTAACTATTGAAGAATATGATTCATGATGTTTTTTTTTAACTTTCTATTTGAGCGGACTGGTCTTTGGCTATCTCATCTCTTGGTCTGGGTTTTGAAAACGGCGGGCTGATGGTGGTACCTACGACAAGAGGATGCCACCCCATGTACGATGGACGCATGCAGCAAGCAACGCATACAGGATACAGGCACAGCAACCATGCAGCAGGCATGCAGCACTCACCGCCCAGAGATTCGCGTGTGCTCTGTTCGACTGGACGACTGGACGAATTGCCGGCAAATGCACTCGATTAAAATACGACACCGCCTCTGCAGGCATCAGGCAACCTGCCGGCCGTGGGCCAATCGCGGCGGCATGCGGGCGCGGGCACAGAAGACGGTGAGCAGTCCTGTGCCTGAGAGACGGTGGGTGGAAGCCGTGGCGGTATCGAGCAGACGATGGAATTGGCGGAGAGATGGGCTTGGAGCATGTGAGAGAGAGGAGGGGAAAAGGGGAGCGCAGGAGGCAAGGGAGGATTACATGCAGAGAATGTGAAGCATTCTACGGAGCACAAGTCTAGAAGCTGGGCGTGGCATGTGAAGAGAGCGCGCTGGATGGGCTGAGAGTACGTACCTGGTCGAGTAGGGGGAGTTGACGTCATGCAAAGGACCCTTTTTAGGTACCCCGAGAAAGGTACCTTCTGGAGTGATTACGGCGTGACCCAAAGCACCGGAAATGTAAATCTAGATACCGCACAGAAGCATCATGAAACGGCCGCGATCGTCTCAAGAACATGCTTCGCTCCCACAAGGCGCGCACACGATGGAGGGAAAATCAAGATTCCCTAGGACCAGGGTTGGTGCATACGTCAAGGGTCCACCGGGGAACTAGCAGCTGTAACCTGTACTCGTACCTTGTCAGAATGGTGAGGCGGACGGGACGCCTTACCGCAACAAGAGGCGAGCGCGCCATTGGACGGATGCTTGCAGTGAAATGTGAATGTCGGTGCAGCTCCCCCGGAGGAGAAGGGCCGGGGGGAGAGGATAAGAAAGATTCGAAGCGAAAGAACTGGAACTGTGGTGATGATTTCAGCGTTTGGTAATGCTGTGCTGTACTTGGTACCTGTATCTTAGCAGGCGCCCAAAAAAGGGGAATACGAAACCGTTTGTTGCATCGTGATGGGATGGTGGTCATGATGATGCCGTGACAGAGCCAAAAAAATCATCTTGACGTCATGGAAGCCCTTTTCTTCTCTATTCTTCTCCCAGATTGCTCTTCTCGGGACTCGCAAGCAACGTGAGCTAACGGCATTCCACTTTAGCGTTTTGCGCAACGACGACACAACAGGCATGGATTGTCGCCCAGTAAACGGCCCGGGCTGATATGACGAAAGTGACAAAGAAAGTTGATTGCATCCAAACCAACAAATGCGGAAGGGGAAATGACACTCCCTTGTTTTGCTGGAGGAGGGGGGCAAAGAGCGGACAGCGAGTGGATTAAAATGAAGTTTACAGTAGCAGTAGATAGAACCGGTGAGCGGCAGGGCCAGGGATCAATGATGAGGGGCGTGCAAATGGCTGGGCCTTGTTCATGTTGGTACTCTTTGCGTGCTGCAAACATGCGTTGGTACATCCCTCGTACAGCAGCAAGCCTTGCTTGATGCGCGTATCGATGTGGTGCCTTTTCGTAATGTATCTTTTTTTTTTAAGATGGAGAAGGTAAAGTTTTGGGTGTGTGTGGTTCTTGCGGGAAGCTTTGGTGCAGGGATTGTTGCTTGCGGCCCGGGGTCTCGTGTATAAGAGAAGCCCACTCGCCACCTCTTCTTCGTTCTCTCTCTCTCTCTATTATCTTATTCCTACTCAACAAACAAACAAACAAACAAACAAACAAACACTTGACGATTAGTCGACTATTCTCTGCAAGACGCCTTTTTACGAAGAAAACATTTTGTCGTCTCTTGAACTTTGAACCCGAACAAAACAACCTGCTGCTCTAAGACATCGCGTCCTACATCCACAACCACCACATCAACAAACAAACAAATACCATCTACATCAACACATACACACTATTCACAATGGGTGCCGTCGTATCTTGTGTAAGTACCTTCCATCCGTTCATGTACAAGCCCCCACAGAAAAACACCCATCTAACAGCATCACCAAACAGTTCCAGGCCATCTTCCGAACCATCGGCAGTGTGATCATGGCAATCATCTCCGGGATAGGCAACATGCTCACCGCCGTGATAAATGGAATCGTTGCTTTCTTTGGTATAATCATCTCTTGCTTGACGTGCGGCCACTCTGGAGGCAACAGGCGATACAGGCATCGTGGAATGCGAGGTTCCAGAATGCGGAGCCGCGTATAAGCAAAGATTGGAACCTCCGAGAAGAGAAGGGGGTTAAGGAGCATGAGACATAGCTGGCCATCGTCTTAAGAATCACGACAAAGTCTGCTGGTGCTCTGCTTCACGAACCGGTTATGAATCACGACATGACACAACACACACATCCCCCCGAACAGCAAAGCAGCACGGTCTCTTTGCAGCGTGGACGGACGAAACCCACGCTTTTCCTTGCTTCCATGTATGATTATTGTTGGACTCTTGAGATACCTGGACCTTTTAGTCGCCCTCGAGCGGTGCATTTGAATTCTTTCCTTTGTCTACTGTATTACTATGTATCAGATAGTCTGAATAATTGACACTGCAACTAATATCCTCTCGCTGTTTCTCTAATAATGTTGCTTACCATGAACTAAATCAAGGGAGATACTACGCAGAAATACCAGTGATTTCGTGAGATTCAAGTGTTGGAGCGCCTTGGTAGTCATTGAGCAAGTATAACTATCTGGCTCTTCAAACATCTACTCCCATCACCCAGTTACTTTCAGCTACTATCAGTATTTGCTACTATTAATATTTTATTCTGCCATCAGCTACTATCGCTGCCCTTATTTCGTATTTGCTACTATAGATATATATCTCTATTTTTTTGGTAGTATCGCTTACTCTTCACTGGCGTAGCTCTCTACATTTGAGACACGAGATGCTGAATAACAGATTTTCAGTGCTGGCTAATATTTGCCCAAATTAAATACTGCCTAGTATGTCTTTTAATGCCACTCGAGGTGACTGGAATATCAAAAGGTTAACCGGTTCTTTCAGGAGGGAGATCCTAGTCGTCCTCTTCCATCACGTTCCTGTTGAAGAAGCCATGGATTTGTCTGGCTGATGCCTTGCCCACTATCGGCTCCAGCTCCTTCTCCGTCATGTTGGCCACCTCCCGTATATTCTCCGTGTCCAGAATGAGGCTCTTGACGTTTTGCGGCGTCACGCCCGGCGCGATGGACAGCATCTCCTGAGGCTCCTGATTAAAGACCTGGTCCTCCACCCTGGAATCCTTGTCTAGGCCCGCCTGCACTGCTGCAATTGGATCGGGCTCGTGCTCTAGCGTCTTGAGCGAGGCGAATATCTCAGCAGTCTCATACGGTGAGGATGACCAGATAATGCGCAGCTTGGGGAACGCAAGCGTCAGCAGCACGAGCTTGGATTGGAGATCCGACGAGACGTTGGTGGGAGCAACGCTGCTGAGGCTGCCGGAAAGGTCAGCAAAGGGCTCCAGCGTGAAGGACTTGTTCTGATCGAATTCGATGAGAAGCATGGGGGTCTTGTAGTGCTGAAACATGGTCTCCGCTTGACTGTACAGCCTGCCGTCCTTGAAGGACGAAATTAGATCGCTGATGGACTTTCGCTCCACGCAAATGTTCGGCGACAGGATGTAGTCGCCTACAGTAAGCATGCATGGCACCACTACCATGGAGCGTCCGTGCAGCAGAGACGGCAGCGAGGACCTGAATTCTCGCACATCGACGACGACCCTCGGCGGCTCCGCCGTGGCCGCCAGCTTACCGCCTCCGGCAATGCGGGTGTTGACGGTGCGCAGAAAGGCTTCCTGCGGGTCCTCGACTCCGTGCGGGTCGACCGTCATGACCAGCGACATGCTGGCTCGCTCCTTGATGAGCTTGGTGAAGGCATCCTTTTCTCTTCTGACCGAGGACAGGTACCGCTGTTCCTCCACCGAGCCGCCATAGTACAAAAAGTAGACCCTGACGTTGCGGTCATTGTGAGATGACCGGTACACTTCCACGCGGCGGATAAAGGCGGCGTCAGGCTCGTACATGATGATGTACCGTGGCTTGACCTCCTCCAGCACATGCTCATCCTGGTCTCCATCGTAGGAGTGGACAACAACCAAATCTTGCATCTCGTACAGCTGGTAGTAGTCCTCCATGTTCTCTAGCGGATCGGCAGCAATGTCTTCCTTCTGCTGGAGTGCTTCCTCTTCCGTGATCTGGACTTCTGCCATCAGATCTGCCACCTCTCCTGGCTTCTCGAAATACTGGGCAATGCTCCCATTGTCGGTACGCCCGGACATGATCATGGAATTTCCGCCGCCTCGCATTCTCCGCCTTTTGTTTGAAGGTGCCTTGCCCCCCCTGACGCCACCTCCAAATCCCGGCCGCGAATCCGTGGCGCTGTTGAGGGCCTTTTGATTCTCGGCAAACAGGCTGGCGCTGACCTGCGCAAACTGCCTCTTCCATCTCAAATAGTTTCGAAGCTTCCGCCTCAGCATGAAGTTTGCCGACGGCCTGCGAGCTTCCTCGGCACGTTCGCGCTCAAACTCGGAGTCGTCCACCACGGGATGCTTATCTTTGTCCGCCCTTGGCTTGACATGCATGGTCTGAAGGAAGTCGCGGAGCTGCCGGCACGTATCCGTGTTTGAGCACATGATTAAAATGCTCCCGTTAGAGTCATCTCGAACTTTGGGCTCAAAGAAGAGGTCTCGATCAATTTCTTCCAAAGCCTCTGCTAGGATGCCCCATTTCGGCTGTTCCTCCAGAACGGGCCGCAGAGAATCAATGTTTTCGCCACTCTGTGATACGCTTTTGGGATTTGCAGAGTAGACTCGCCTTCGTGCGACGTCGAATATGGTCTGCGCAGCATCCAAGAACAGCCATGGCGACTGAGATTGACGAGTCGATCCTGGCGGAGGGGAGTGCGCGGCGTGTATTGTATCAAGGTGTTGAAGAAAGGACACAGCATCATAAGTGAGAATGTTGCTGAGAAGCCCACGAAGAATGGTCAAATCGCTGACAATCTGGCGTGTCTTCCAACTGACGCGGTGCCAGTTTGGATCTAACTGGCGACGAACCATGACGTCAAAGTTCTTGAGCAAGGCACTGTCCAAGTTCCAGTCGTCCATTTCCAAGCCCGAATTACCCTTTTTGAGCTCGTGGATGCTGACCTCGACGCACTCCATGATGGCATTCTGAATGTCTCTCATCGAGTCCGACATGGGGACCTCGAGCTCAATGACCTCGGCCTTTTTCTTGCCTTCGAGGGACTGAGCCACTGTGACGTGAAACCTCGGCCAAAGAGACGCCTTTTTGAGAAACAAATTCCTCATCATGGTGGTCAAGGGTGAGAATCCTGTAGTAAACGGATCCGGGTTGTCTGAAAAGGCCTTGAGAAAGCCAACCTTGTTCTTTTGCCTGTACACTCGGAGGATGAACGCCTCGAGAGATGTAGCGATGACGCGATCTGCATGAAGGACAACAAGACCAGTGATGAGCTCGGGATTCAGCAGTCCCGTCAGGAGATCGACCACGAGGATTCGAGACGTGATGCTGAAGATGCCCCCAATCGCATACATCTTTTCCCTAGCACCGACGGTCTGGGAGTCGGTGTTGACGACGGTTAAGCCCCGTGCTTTGGGGGACGCACTGATGGCGGCATGCTCGGCCAGCGCCTCGCCAATCCAGTTGTTTTCGCGCTCACTCGAGCCGACGAGAATAATGAGGTTGCTCCCGGCGGCATCGTAAGAGTGGAGGAGGTTTGTGACAAGGCGCATCTGGCCCAGGCCGCGGGCGAGAATCACGAGCTCATCCTCAGACCGGAGCTCTTGGAACAGCTGCTGCTGGTATTCCTAATTAGGGGCTCGATTAGTTACGAGGCCAGGCAGAGACGGCAGGGTGACGAACCAGAGGCAGCGAGAGTTTGACGGGCTGCGGCGCATTGTTGGTCGACATGCAGGGCGCCGTGGTGATGCTTCATGGCCGAATCGTGAAGTTCACGGGCGACTAACAGAATTGAATGCATGCAAGTTCCGTTATCATCAAGTACCTTATGTTACAGGTACCCAAGGTGCCTCTCCACAGCAAGACGGAGCTGTTTCTAGTGCTACCGTTTAGCGCTATGGGCAACCGTTTTTAGCAGTTACTGCACCGTACTTGTACCTCGTACATTAGTAGCACCTCCGCTCTCCGTTGTAAGCACGTGAGCACATATAGTACCTGACTGTAATTGTTGGTACCTAATCCGTTTCCAACACGGAGTGAAGATGCCTGATGCAATAATGACCATTCCCATGCTTGTACTTGTATATTGGAGAATAATTAATGAGTATTGCTATTCAGGCATTACCTTTTTGCTATTCGGGCATTATATTTACCCAACTAAGCCCAAATAGGCTAGGGTTAGTCTAAGCCAGCCCGCTCTACTAAAATATAGTATTAAGTTATAGCAGTCAGGAATAGTATATAATAGTTAAGTAGTATTATTATAATAATAGTTAAATTATATAGTAAAATAAAGCTTTTATAAGCTGCCCAGTTATATAGCTGGGATAACCTTTTTAATAGCTTAGCTACTGCTATTTAGGCTACTGCTGCTACTACTATAGCTGCTGCTGCAGCTGCTTTTTTATCCTTAGTAAAATCTTTCTCCCCTAGTGTTTCCTCTTCTCTTAGATCTTTTCGTAAATAATTATAAAAATTATAAGGCGCGTTAACTACTAGCTTTAACCTCTGCTATTATATAGGTATATTAAATACTTATATTTAACCTCCGGCTGCTTTATTAAATTAAGGTTAGTAAGGAAGGCAGGGATTATATTAAAGCTGTTGTTATACTTAGCTATATACTAAAACTAAGCCTTAATATTAGCTATAGGGTAAGATTAATAAGAGCTTTATAGTTTTAAGGAAGCCTTAGCTTTTTATATAGGTTTTTAATAATATTAGGGTTTTTAATCTTAAGGAGCAGCTTATTTAGATCCTATAATACTAGGTTAATAGCTTTTATATAAAAAATAATAGGGAGAATTATTAAAGGCTTATTTAATTACTATCTTAGGTAAATAACTTTTTTTATTAATAAAACGCTAGTTAAAATAACCTTTTTTATAAGATAATAGGTATATAAGAGAGTATATTATTATATAAAGTAGTAAAAAGTTATATATAGTAAAAGTCTTTTATTACCTTTAACCATGGCCTCTGCTTAGTAATATTACTATATAAGAAGGTTAATAATAGTGTAGCTAATTTATATTAAAATTAATTTTAGCTATTTTCTACTAATAAAATTCTACTATAACTTAACTTCTTAATTTACAGCTGTTTAAAAATAGTTTTACTTTTTTTTAGCTATTATTTAAATAAGGGCTTTATAAAGATAAAGTAGATTGCCTATATTAGTTAAGAAATAGTTTTTAATATCTTTATAAGCAGTTTTAGTTAAATTATTTATTCTTTAACTAAAATTTTAGTATTATTTAATATAGTATTATAAAAACTAGTTAGCTAAAGGAAAATATTTATTTAAAAAATAATTAATAATATTACTTTAGCTATTACTAAAAATTACCCTTAGTATATCCTAAGCTTATTTAAAATTGCCCTTTTTTTTAATATAAATAACTTTACTTTAGGTTTACTTAAAACTAGCCTTATTATACTTAAAAAAAGGCTTTATAAAGCTAGAAAATAAGGTTACTAATGCTATAGCCTTAGGGGTAAGCTTATTAATAATAGGGTTAAGGAAGCTAGTAGTAAAGTTATTAATAGTAAGACCTTCTATAGTAAGGCTATTAGCAGTAAGGCTATTAGTAGTAAGATTACCTATAGCAGTAGGATTATTAATAATAAGGCTACTTATAGCAGTAGGGTTATTAATAGTAAGCTTATTAATACTTTTCTTCTACTTTAAAATTATTTTAGCCTTAATATTTATATTAATATAATATAAGTAAAGTTACTACTATATATTTAAAAAAATATATTTTAGGGCCTTTTTTAGCGCTAATTTCTTATTTATAATAATAACGTTAAGTAGAGGAATCTTAAGCTGCTGCTGGAATATATTTAGCTAGTTATAAAGCTAGTTATAACCCTTAATTTTCTTAGTATTAACTAAGCTAAAGGCAAAGTTTATTATAAAATTCTAATTTATAATATTAATTACTTAAAATAGGTATATTTTAAACTTATTAGTTTTATAGGTGTTATCTAAACTAAGAACTTCTAAAAATCTCTTTTATATAACCTTATATTAAGGGTAGGTTTAGAAAATTATCTTTACTTTATAATCTTTATTATAGTAGATAATATAATAAAGCCTTTATTATTAAAGAAAATTTATTTATTATTATATAAGCGTAAGTCCTTTAAGTTATAACTATTAAATAATTTAATAATTATTATAAATATTTTTTAGAAAGAAATATAAAGGCCTTTAACTTTATATATATATAATCTCTTTTATTTTATAAGCGCTAAGTACTTTATATTATAAAAGTAATTTCTTAAATTTAAACTATTCTTTTATATAATAATAATATACTATATAAGCTAATAAGTTAAAGGAGGTATTATAATTATACTAGCCCTTAGAGACTTAAAATATTTACTTTTAGTTAAATTTCTTTATAATTATCAGAGCCTAATAATAGGCCTGACATTAACGCCTTAAGAATACACTAACCTTACAGCGGGGCTTAGCGCTTGTGTTATAAAATTACTTTAACTACACTAGGAAAGCATAAATTAAAAACTATATAGCCCTTAGTATAGTAATAGGTATTATATAATAACTATAAATTCTATAAAGTTATAAAGGTTAAAAATAAATATAGTTATTATTATATACCTATTTTATATATTTAATATAAAGCTTTTATAAACTTACTCTTATACCTCTTTACTCTCTTTTACTAACCTAACTTTTAATAAGTTTATTTCTTTAACTTATAAAAAGTAAAAAAACTATTAAAAATAAAAATAATTATTAATAATACTTATATATATAAACTATACTTTAATAGCTATAAGGCTATAATCCCATAGACTTAATAAGTAGTATAATTATAAATACTACCGCAGGTTATTTTATAAGCTAATATTATAACGCTGCCGCTAAGGGGACCCCCTAATATAGCTCCTTTATTAAAAAAAGAAACCCCTAGCCTAAACTTATATAAATCCCTTTTACTTAATAAATTATAAGAATATATTACTATTATAGTAAAACTATAAAAAAAAAAAAAAATAATTTAATATCTTTAAGTAATTAAAAATAAAAAAAACCCTATTTTTAACTTTAACTTCCTAAGGCCTAAGGTTAAAGTAAAGCTAAAGTAAACCCGCTTTAATATATAAAAAAAAGTTTAAATATTAACTTTAAAATTTAAAAGTAAAAATTAAATAAAGCTTTAGATATACTTTATATACCTAAGTAATTAATTTAAACTTAAAAAGGGGTAGTTTATTAAGGACTTTTATAAAATCTAATATATTAGTAGCTGTCTTAAAGAAAATATAAAGTAATAATAAATTTTTTTTTAAAATAGGGAATATTAGCGCTTTTTTAGTAACTTAATATATAATTAATATATTAAATAATATAAAAATAATATTAGTAATAAAACTATTTATATACTTAATATAACTATATTATTAAATAATATTAGCTAAAATAAAGGTAAATTATTCTAAGTTTTCTTAAAAAAGTTTAAAGTAATCCTTAGTAAAATTTTAGGCAGCCTCTTAAATAACTTTTATATTCCTTAGTTTATTAATAAATACCTTACCCTTTTATATAAGGGTATCCTTAGTATTAGACTTTTTATAACTTAGTTAAACCTTTATAATATAGGAAAGTAAGCTAAAGTAGTAAATTATAATAGTAAATTATAAAGCTTTAAAAACTATAACTAAAAAAAAGAAAAAAAGAATAATAACTTCTAAAGGTTATAAAGGAATAATTAGTAAAAAAGTAATACTAATAAAGCTATTATACTTTAAAAAAATACTTTTATAAAGCTAAATATATTAAAAAATAAATCTACTTTAAGGCTAATTTATTAAAAATATAGTAAATTATATTTTAAAAATATATATATTATACTTAATTATAAAAAATATAATAATAAATATTATATAATAAAATATTATAATAACCTTATTAATAATAAAGGCCTAAGCTTTAGAGTTAACTTTATTCTTACCTTAAAAAGGGTATAGGGTTATACTAAAGTTACTTCTCTACTACCTAAGTCTATTATTAATATTAAAGACTATAGCTTAATTATAAAAAAATACCTAAGGGTAAAAATAGAAAGTAGGTAAATAAAAGTAACCTTTATATTAGATTCTAGTAGTAATATTAATATAATATAGTAGTAACTTATACTACTTAATTAAATCCTACCTTATAAAACTAAGCTTTATTTATTTAATAAAAAAAAAGTAAGTAATATATAAAGTATTATAATAAGGTTATATAAAATAACTAATAATTAGGAAGTAATAAAGTAGTTTTAAGTTTTTTTTTTTATTATAGTAAATATAAATAATAGTATTTTTTTAGGTAGACTATAGTATAATATAATTAACTTAAATATCTATTACTTATTAAAATAATAGTACTACTAGCTCTTAAAGAAGAACCTTAAAGTTATAATATTTTATAAGTAAGTATATAAATAAAATAAAAAAGTAAAAGTAAGAATAGTCTTAGTGTAAAGTATTAGAAAAATAAACTTAGTAAAAGAATATATAAAATACCCCTTTTACCTATATACTAAAGATTAAATACTAAAGAATTATAATAAAAAAAAAGTAAAAGGGTTACCCTTAGAGTACTTAAACTATATAAAAGTTTTTAATAAAAATATAGCTATAGAACTTATACTCTTTAATAGCCTAATATATATTATTAATATTAAACTTAATATAATACTATTATAAGG